TTTTTTTTTTTTAAAAAAAATTATGTGCCAGTTATTGCATAAAGAGTAAAATAACGAAAAACTTCTCATTTATCTTCAATTATGGCATAATTATGTCATGGCCAGAATACGTCTTAACAACGTGATGTAGCTTAATAATATTATGAAGAACGTGCAAAGAAGTTTTCCGGTCGGGTTTGGGTTCGGATTATATGCTCACCCTTAAACCGATTTATAACCGATCCATCTACACAAATAAAGAAGGGAATATTGTTAGAAATACCATTTGTGGTGAAATTACTTGTTGGAAATACCATAACCGAAAATTGCTTGTGTGGAATACCACAATGCCAATGTTCTGCTATAGAGAAAGACAATAATACCCCTTAAGAGGTTTGATGTTGAGTGAAGCTTCATGTGTCAGAGATAGGTTGTGCGTGAACTGTGAAGGACGAGGAAAAGTGATGTTTGGCGGAAGTTTTGATCTTAAACGCATTTAATGGTCATTTTAACAGGTTGTTTAGTGGAAATTTAGCTTCATTAAAAATTAAAAATTAAAAACTAATAGAAGATAAGATCCATTTATTCATGTTCCTGAAAGTTGCAGACGGTGGACAGATTTTGCTGGTGGACTATAAATCGGTAAGATATAAATCATCCTCACTATCGATTGTTTGATATGTGCTCGTTTCTTGTTCACATAAAAAGTCCATTTTATAAGAGGGAGATAGCAATCCGTGAAAGTTGTAATATATTGGGAACAACCGTTACTACATTACTGTGGTGGACAACAAACCAAAACAATACGTGGTGGACATACCTGGTGTAACATATGGTACACCATAATTTGGTGGACATACCCACAAAAATAACAGCTAAAACGTGATATAACATCATGCGATTACATACTGAAAAACATCTATAGAGAAGAATTTGGTGGACATACCTGGTGTAACATATGGTCCACCATAACTTGGTGAATTGGAAAACAAATGTGGTCGATAACAAACCGAAACCATATGTGGTGGACATACCTGGTGTAACATATGGTCCACCATAACTTGGTGGACATACCCACAAAAAGAAACAGCTAAAACGTGAAAGAACATCATCCGATTACAGATTGAAAAACAACTATAAACATATGGTCCACCATGACTTGGTGGACATACCCGCACAAAAAAAAGATAATACGTGACGACAAATGTTTTCCGAAATTAAAGGGGAAGAGTAAAGAGTAGGAAAGCAGTGAGGCATAAAAGGAGAGGAACAACTAGGAACATGATCTTTTTGGTGCAATTTCGAATCATCCCTTCTCGAGACATAGCAACGGCTTGAACGTGGTGGACAATCTGTTGTAGCTTTTGTCTGCAAATTGATGGAGAGAGTTAAGGTGGTGGACAATCATTGGATGCAGAAAGTAGTTGATAGAGAGAGTTGAAAAAGTAAAAATTTTGTCTTACAATTTTTTTTTTGTAAAACAGTATTGTCAAATCCAATGACTCAACTCGTGTGGTGAAGCCGCGAGTGCCAAAACGCGTGGTATTACGTAAAACACAAATTGAGGTTAGTTTTGTCATTTCATCAGGGCCATGTGGTAGATTTTATAAGATTGAAAAGTTGTGGTAGATTTGACAAGAAAATTAGAATAAGTGGTACATGGCATAATTTTCCTAATAAAGAACCGGTACTCAAATAAACTCATAACCCAGTCGAACTGAAATTAGATCGGTTTAATCTGAATCCATGGACGTTGACCATTCGGAAAAAAAAACTCGCTAGATAGCTCAAGAACACAAACTCATGCATTCCAGCTTTAATTTTCTATGCTTCTCATAATCACACTCTCAAATCCCATATTTTCATATGAATGAACACAAAAACTTCCTTTGCTTATAAGCGCAACCTTAGCCACCCAAAGGGTAAGAGACTTAAGAGTCTTGGAAGTGTGAGCCCGAACACGGAGATGGGAAAGGGACTCCATTAACCATGCTCTCTGGCTTAGAAAGACTACGAAACCCGGCCCCAAACTTCTTGTAAATAAAAAATATAAGATCCAAACGAACTAAACTAATAAGATCAAAGTTTAAGTCTAGCATAAAGAGCTACCTAACAAGTAATCAAGACTATTTTCAAAAAATTAAAAAAAAAGGTAATTAAGAGGTTAACATTACACAGTGTGAGCCAAATTAAAATTATTAACTTTGGGTTAGCTACAAAATTTTCCAGGTATAATAAAGAAAGGAATGTTTGGTTTCAAGACCATAAGTGGTCGTTGCTGGGTTAGGTTCTGCTTAGTTTCAGTCTTCTTAGATGACTTAAAAAAAAGGAGGTTAAAATCATTACAAAAACGCTAGAGAGAGGGGTCGAACCTCTGACCTTGTGGTTAACAGCCACACGCTCTAACCAACTGAGCTACTCCAGCTTGTTGGTTACCTACGAAAACCTTAATATTAAACCATAAAGGTTTTGTGTTTTATTGACCATAATCTGGGGAGCTCATTCATGGTCTCGATTGTTTGTTAAAAATTGTGAATCAAAAGCTACAAATTCATTATGACTTCTTATTAAATATTATATTGTATTTTTATTCAATCTACTAAATATGTAACAAAGTTAGATCTGACCCTAATTTCATATCTATTGAAGTGAACTTGGAATATAACCAATTTACCATCAATTCCCTTGTCTAACCAAAAAACCACATACCTATAGGAATTCCAAAACAACGATATGGAGTATCATTTTATCCTCAACTTTGATTAATTCCACATGTTAAATAACTTTAGATATCATAACTAACCACATGTTACAAAAGAAAATTCATGACCATACTCATGTAATTTTTGATGAGATATTTCACATGTTGATACGTGTGATATAGATACCCATACAAATCACTTTTGTGTAACAAAAACAACAAAGACATCAATCTAAATTATCCACAATATACATATATCTAGAGTCGTATGCATTATGATATATATAAAATAATGATTTTCTCATTACAAATCTCGTATTTGGATAACATAACATGTAAATTTGTGTAACCTATATTAACTAATATTCACACAATCCCATCTTTCTAGTAGACATTTTGACTTTCTTTCTTCTCAG